AAAACTATACGATAGCCAGTTGGTTACCTGAGTGGTTCGTTCTACTTTTTAAATTGTTTGTTATGTCGAACGTTGATTCGAGCCCAACGGCCGGACAAATCGACTTTCACTGTGTAACCGTTGAATCTGTCCTAAAAATCGTAAGGTGAAAGGTAAGGCATCGTCAATTCTTAGTTCACCCTATTTCGATTTCTGAGTGTTGTTTTTCCTAAGTGGGCGACAACTGGTCAACGAAAAAAACAGATTTTCTTTTTGTCGGGCAAATCCTGTCTCATGTCTGTGTATTATACTTGAAATTTTTTTACTATGACTACTAAAAAAAGCATCAAATATGTGACCGTTCCTTGTGAGTAATAAAAATGACCCATGACTCACACCTTCAAACTAATCACAGTTGACCAGATTCATAACTCACTTCCTCGAGGCCAATTACACATGAGTTAATTTATGACAGTTAATATAATTTTATTCATGACATTTTCTAATCGGAAATAATAAATAAACTTCTAAATAAACTAATAATAACCTTGAGAAGTGAAGCTTGTGCCAAGGTAAGTCATAAAAAAGGTACATCTTTATAAATACAATCTTACATAGTATTCATATACAAAGTATATGAACATATGTGAAAAAAAGAAAATAACAAATGAATACATAAATTTGAAGTATGTTCTTTCTCTGCCGAAGCTTGCTGACATAGTCTTCTCCCGCAGTGTCTTGTTCTGGCGGCGGCGTCCCAAATTTCAGGTTGCAAGGAAGCCGCAGCTCTCGGCCCATTATAATACTGGCAGGGGTTTGGCCAGTTGACTCGTGCACTGCCGAACGATAAGCCAGCAGGAACAAGTGGAGGTATTGGTCCCAGTCTCTTTGATGGTCAGAGAATACCTTGGACAAGTGGCGGTTCATGGTCTTATTCATTCGTTCCGCCATTCCATCGGATTGTGGATGTAAGGCTGTGGTTCTGGTCTTTCGAATGTCCAACAGTTTACATATTTCTTGGAACAGGTTGAACTCAAAATTTCTGCCCTGGTCCAAATGCAGCTCCAATGGGACACCGAATCGACATATCCATTCCTTTACCAGGACGTCAGTGACGGTAAGGGTTTCCTGGTTGGGCAGGGCATAGGCTTCTGCCCACTTGCTGAAGTAGTCCATGGCTACTAGGATGTATTTGTTCCCATGGTCGGACTCTGGAAACGGGCAGGCGATATCGATGGCTATTCTCTCAAAAGGACTACCCACGTTATACTGGCGCATTGGAGCTTTCGGTCGTATCCTAGGTCCGTGACTGGCAGCGCATACAGCATACTTTCTGCACCAGTCCTTGACGTCGGCTTGACAATTAACCCAGTAAAACCGTTGTCTTACTTTCTGGAGGGTCTTCGTTACTCCCAGATGTCCTCCAGTGACTACATCATGGATTTCTTTGAGCACCCCTCGTCGTCTGCTTCTGGGTACCAGTGTCTGGCGCCTTTGTTCTCCACCGTCTTCAGACTCCAACACCCGCTTCAGAACCCCGTTTTCAAAGGTGAGAGAGTTCCATTGTGCCCAGTAGGACTTAACCGCTGGCGAATAACCTACTACCTCCTGTTACGATGGTCTTCGATTACTTTTCTTCCATCCGATGACTAAACCAAGGTCTGGGTCTTTCTCTTGGTCTTCCATGATCCCAGTTGTCTTCCACAGCTCTAGTTCTACAAATAGCTGCTTCCTTCCCCTCTGCTCGTCGGCAATGTGAGCAGTCATCGGGGCATGGTCTCCGTGACAGGGCATCTACGTTCTTATGGTTAGTCCCAGCTCGATGTTCTATTTCGAAGTCAAATTCTTGAAGTCTCTCAATTCAGCGTGCTACTTGGCCCTCGGAATTTTTGAACTGCAGAAGCCATTTGAGAGATGCATGGTCCGTTCTCAACAGAAATCTTCTTCCATACACGTATTTGTAGAAATGTTCTACACCTTTGACAACGGCCAACAGCTCTCGCCTGGTGACACAATAATTGCGCTCTGGTTTACTGAGCGTTTCGCTGAAGTAGCCAATAACTTTCTCCTGTTCACCCCGAATCTGAGAAAGGACTGCTCCAAGTCCCACGTTGCTGGCGTCCGTATCTAAAATGAACGTTCAGTCAGGTAGGGGATAGCTCAAAACAGGAGCGTTGATCAAAGCTCTTTTCAACTTCTTGAATGAGTCTTGGCATTTCTCAGACCACTGGAACTGGATCTGCCCTTCTGTGAGTCGGGTCAATGGTTTGGCGATGTTGGCAAACCCCAGCACATATCTGCGGTAGTAGGTGCATAAACCAAGGAAGCTCCGAAGCTCATGTATGTCTTTTGGAATGGGCCAATCCTTAACTGCTTTGATCTTTTGTTCGTCTACCGCCACTCCTTCCCCAGAGACAACGTGGCCAAGGTAACGGACTTCTTTCTGGAACTGATGGCATTTCTTGGGACTAAGTTTCAATCCAGAACTCCTCAGACGCATGAACACCTCCTCCAGATCTTTTAAGTGATCGTCGAACATTTTCCGACCACGATTATATCGTCGAGATACACAAGACACGTCTTCCATGAGAGCCCTTTGAGAACCGTCTCCATCAATCTCTCAAAGGTCGCTGGAGCATTACCAAGCCCGAATGGCATAACCGTGAACTGCCACAATCCTGAGCCGATGGTGAAAGCAGTCTTTCCTCGATCTTCTGGGGCCAATTCAACTTGCCAATATCCACTCTTCAAATCCAGTCGAGAAAATTATGGAGCCGGCTAGCGTGTCTAGGGTGTCGTCGATTCTTGGAAGAGGGTAGCTGTCTTTCTTCGTCACGTGATTTAGTTGGCGATAATCCACGCAGAACGTTTTCGAGCCGTCCTTCTTTTTCACTAACACGACTGGGGAAGACCAGGGGCTGTCAGAAGGTTCGATGACTCATTCTTTTCCCATATCGCTGACTATCTTGTCTGCCTCTTCTCTATTGGCAAGAGGCAGTCTTCTAGCTGATTGCCGGATTGGTCGGGCATTCCCAGTGTCGATTCTATGCTGAAACACATTCGTTCTGCCGCCTTTCCTTCCCCATTGTCAAAGATTTCCTGGTACTTCTTGACTAACTCCCTCAGTTTTGATCGGTGGGTTGGTGGTATGTCCTTGGAGGAAATGTCAATCAACTTTTGCAACTCTTTAGGCAAGTTGTTGGCTTGGCTAACCGAACTGTGTACACTCCGTATCACCGAGGAAATGGACGAACAGTGCCCCAGCATTGTTCATTTCTTCAAGGTCACGGGAAAGTAGTTAACATTCATGACCCTGACCGGCACAACTTTATCGACACGCAACAGGGTCTTCTCCAGTGCGAGTCCAATTTTCTCATCGTGTATTTTGGGCTCGAACATTACCATCTTGCCGCTGCTCGCACTTCAGATTCGTTACATTATGTTTCTTCTTAAGCTAGGCGCAAATTGAGGGCGTGTGAGACGACCTGCACGAGACGCAGGTGTGACGTGGATGATCCGCAAATTGAACGCTGTTTCGGAGTGACAATTGTACCGCTATGTCCGACCGAGTTGAAAAACGGACTCAGAATCCGTCATTGATGCTAAAGACGAACTTTTACTTTATTGTTTGCTCGTTGATAATAAAGTAAAATCACCCAACAAGAATATTCTCTTGGAAAGGGAAACGTGGACAATTTATGATAACAAAGATTGCTGGGATTATACAACTTTTTGTGTACCCTCATATTCTCAATTAACTTTTCCTTAACCATTAACTTTTAATTTAAAAAATAAACAAAGAAACAAAAAACCTGAAAAACGCAGTGTTGTGCAGTTATACAAAGACTTTGGCGACACGCGAAAAATTGGCAGGAAAAACGGTGTCTCAACCACTCTGTCATGCGAGTCACGCTAGTCGCGCCACCTCGTTTCCGGGCGACACACCAAACGAATCAAATTTGCGCCTAGCTCTACAGTAAGTGGTCCTGGGTTCAATCAAAGGGCCCAAGTCGATTTATTTTTTCATTGAATTTTCCAATTATTTGTCGGTGAATAACACAGATGCTTTTTAACACGCTTTTATTAGCTTAACCTGTATGTTTGTTTGTTTGTCAGTTTGTTTGTAACTCTCAAGCTCGGGATCTGTATTTGACAGAATTATCGACATTATTGCTTGATCTATTCGCGGGCAGATGGCGCTGTCCGTAACCTCCTTGATATAATTCGAACTCACTTTACATGTATTTTTTTCATTTGAAAAAAGTATTTTTTTTATTAACACGCGCGCCCGCTGCCGTATTTGTAACCCTCATTTGCACGCCTGCTGCCTTGGGTTTGGTAGCTTCAGGCTCCCTCTCCGGAATCGGAAAATATCAATGTCCATTTTTCTAAACAATATACGGCTGATTGATCTCAAAGTTTAGCTAAAATAAATATAATTTGAAAAGACTAAAAAACACGCTTTAAAAGTATTATGATACTAGTATTTTTCATTCGTTATTGTTTTAAGCCTATTTAAAAAAAATATTTAACTTTTTAGTTCGATGTTCTTTAAAAACGTGTTTTTTAGTTTTTTAAATTAAATTTATGTTATGTACACTACCGGTAGTTGTGAATTTAGATACAAGTTCCCTCAAATATTTTCTACAGATAGGACGATTTGGAAAACGTTCATTGAAAATTTTTTCGGTCATAGAAAAACTATAGTATCCACTCGTATGGAATCGTCATTGAATTATTTACGACAAACTTCATTCTTACGACCAATGACCACATTTTTCGCTCATTATTTACATACGTATATTATTTACAAGTTAGAACATATTTATATGTATTAATAGGAACTGACACAGAGACAAATGAAAGAGTAATCGTAGATTTTTTTATTTTTATCATGATTTACATCGACCTCAAAAACAGTATTTTTATATTGAAATAGAAGAAAGTTGTTAGTTATTTCTTCATCAAAATTCTCAAAACTAATAGTTGCTTGCATTTACAATTTCGACTTTCTTTTTCAGATTTGTGTTATTCAAGAAACACTACGACAAATATTTACATCTTTCCCAAAAGTACGAAGAAGCGAGAAACATCGCCTACTACTTGGAAGAGAAATACCACGAGGTCAAGGTGACGTCATATCTTTAAATTGTTAATAACGTCAACTAATTATATGTGCTGTTTACAGACCGAACGGGACGATTTGATTAAACAGAGGGATCAACTGACCAAGAAATTGGAATCGAACGAATGTCTGCTGAGGGAGAAGGAAGACGAAGTTTTCGTACAATTTGAAAGGGTCCTTTTTCTGGAGGAACAATGCGATAAGGTAAGTGTGATGTCTTCTTGTCTCAATACTCAGAAATCTGATTGAGAAAGGAATCGGAAAACACACGTTTTCTGTCAATACCAAATATATTCTATACATTCAAACTCCCCGTTTTACCATGACCCCTTCTCACGACTCGACACTCGCCGTGATATACGAGGGGCAGAAAACTAACTATATTACAGGATTCAATTTTAGTAGCGAATCGTTGGTTACCATGAAAAATAAAGAGATTATGTGCGAATGGCAGTTGTCATACACAGCACTTCGCAGGCCCAGGATATACTAAGAAATTGATATATTTGCACTATACGAGTACATTTCGTTAAAAAAGCACCTTATTTGTACAGTCTCTGGAAAACATTGCAGTCTCATGGGCTTATGGCACCTTCCCCCATCTTTGTTTTGACACCCATTACAACAATACTTCTGGAGGTACCATTACATGAATAGGAGGCCAAGTAGGTCCAGAGACTGTCAAAGTATGAAGACTTTTTTAAATATACATTTTCTTTGATAATTATTCGTTATTCAGTCATACATAATGTAGATTCTAGAATATCAATATGATTCCGTAACCTTGGAACACCAACTAATCCGTACAGATCGATTATCACTATATGATCAACTAAGAAGATTATTTGAGCTCCGTAGTCACATCGAAACATTTGATAAGTATTAGAACTTCCTGATGTTTTAAAACAAAAACAATTCGTGATTTATCACCAGAGAGCGCTCATCAGTGGTGCTAGTTTTTGGACTATGGTTTCTTATAGTTGCCTTTCAGTGAAAATTGCAGTCGAGTTCAGCATTGCATTCGTGGTTCAGCTAAAGGCGGGTCAGACCTAAGGCAAGTCGGAACAGCGGTGTCTGGTGTTGAATCATAAATCTATGTTTTTAGGTGATGGTTTCATCTAATTTCCGGCTTACTTCGCTGCTACTCGTTTCATGCCCAAAATTTCTGAAAACATTCTTCTAACATTATTTAACATATCAGGAGTGACCGACCTAATCGCAAGCGTTATTCGTTCTTTCAAGTCATTCAAATCTAATGATGAAAGATCAGGTGATCGCGCTGGCCATTCAATCGATTCTCGCCTCCCTATACACCGATTGGGAAATGTTGTATCGAGGCATTGCCGGACATTAACTTGGTAGTGTGGTGGTGCTCCATCCTGCTGAAACCATATCGTATTCACTGGAAGTTGGGGGTTTTCCTGGGTCAGGATATAAATTTGCTAAACTTTGAATGACTTTGCCCTCAATGAAAAAGGGACTAATTATATGGTTTCCTACAATACCTGCCCACCTGTCGGCGGAAACTCTTGCAGGTCGAGTCCCCCAGACATAAATGTCGACTTGATCATTTTCGACAAAAAAAAATTACAACCCCCACCCTTTGAGTATGGAAGAATTCCACATTCTTCATTAAATTGAAAATAAACCTTGCAGGTTGGCAGAAATTTGTCGAAAATGATTAACCTGATCGAGATTTATGTCTGGCAGACCCGATCTGCAAGAATTTTCTGCCGATAGCAAGGTTTATTTTCAATTTAATGAGGAATGGGGAATTTTTCCATACTAAAGGGTGGGGTCGGAATTTTTTTGCCGAAAATGATTTACCTACTCGAGATTCATGTTCGAGAGACCCGAACTGCAAGACTTTCCGCCGACCTGCAACATTTATTTCCCATTTTTTGAGAATTGTGAAATTTTTAGGTGGTGGTTCGAAATTTTTTCTGTTGAAAATGATCAACCTGGTAGAGATTTATGTCTGGGGGACCCGACCTGCAAGAATTTCTGCCCTCCTACAAGATTACGAGAGCAATGTCTACTGAGAACAATTTGCTGAACTAAAAAATAGTTATACCCTCATTTTTGTTACTAATTTTGAATAGAGGATTGACAAACAATTCATGCTGTTTATGAGTTTTCATTTCAACTAGTCGCTAATCAAACACTTACATTAGTTGGCATTTATTAAATTAAATGAACAGATCAAGTAACACTAACAGAGGGACAAAAGATATTTCACAAATAATGATAACTGACATTGCATATGTAAAATAAAAAATGATTCAATTCAATCAAAAAAAGAATTACACAAAAATATCAAATGGCAAATATTTAGGTAAACGGTAACATATATAAACATAAGTGATAGGAATATTGTAAATAAGTATATTCATTGTGAAATTTCACTGATTAGAAACGTTATGTTGATTTAATTGTCTAAATTTCCAACTAGATTAATGTTTCTTCATATAATCCGTAATTAAATTTTATGTTGAGCATTGGATATAGACTGTTTTACAATATATGACTGTATTTTCATTTTTGACAGTTATTCCGGTTTATTTTAAGAATACAATTGATTTCATTAAAATTCAATAAATTGCAGTTGTTTTGCACTATTTGTGATACAATGAATAAAATAGCTGGTTTTGAGTTTCTGGGGAGAATTTAAAACTAGTGAGTTGTTTATGTTAATGTAATAGCTCAAAAATTAAATTAGATATCAAACTCTGGTTTTTATACAAATATCACAACGAAAAACAAAAAATTGTCATTTTTACTTCATTTCCATAATTTTTACTAGACTTTCAAATATGACCGATTTTTTGTAGAAATTACTTTGCCTTTTCAAAATTGTTAGTTTTGTTTGATAGTTTAAAGTCATTACCTGATGATTTTAATTTTCGTTGAAATTTAAAAAAAAATCTTTTTTGTAGTTTTTTTATTAATAATAAGACCTGAAAAATTGAAAATAACTTACTTGATCTACTGGTAAAAGACTACTTCATTGTCAATAAAAAAATCTCAAAAATATCATCCACGTTCACTTCCTTCAAATTGATCCTGAGATAAAGCACCAAGGAAATATATGTATTCGACAAGATTCCATTGATCTGCTCTAGATATATTAAACTAGTTCCCATGGCCTCAGCCCAAGGAGAGATTGTTATTGTTGTAACAAAAATGTATGAAACAATCAAATTGAATGAACAATTTCTAAATGTATTTACGCGAGAACAACAAAAAATGGAGGATAATGAGATTACTATCCTCAATATCAAGCTATCCAATCTCTTCCTCACGATTTTTGAGATAGTGAAGAATAGTAACAATCATTGTTTACATTATTTTCTACTTCCAGCTGACCACATTTTATGTAGAGATTACGACTACCGATAAAAAAGCAAAATCACTTTTATAAAAATCTAATAATAACAATTTCTAGGAACCTTGGTTTTAGTTTCAATTCATACCTTTATCAGCAAATACTTTTCATCAGGTGCAACTCTTAAAAATGGTTGAATTTCTTCAGAAGTTAATGTTTTTGGCTGTTTTGGAGCATATTTTTCAGATTTGCATTTTGAAAATGCACGTAGTTTTACGTATTTTGATATATCAACACAGTTTTTAATAATTAAGGTACTCCTCAGCATCGAGTACTGATACCATAATGTTGATGATTTCAATCTTGTTGACAACTCTTCAAAATAAACTAACAATGGAACAAGAATTTACCTTGGCTTTCATTTTCCAGTTCATGAAGTTTCTGTAAGCCATTTCATATTTTTCTCTTGATGTGCTTGGTAGCAAATTATTGCAAACATCTATTGCTTTCTGAACAATTTCTGGAGGTGTATTTTCCAACTCTAAATCTTCGTATTCCATTATATTCAATATTTAATAAATCTGAACTGTTTATACTTTAACAATCAGTGCAGTGCTTCGGTTTTGTTGTTATGGAAACGCCGACAATGGGCTACTTGGATATTGCACGCGAATCGTCGGCTAGCGTTGTCACCATGGAGAACGTGTCATATCAATCTGACATGTGTAACAATTCATGACTGACTTGGGTTATCGTGATAACAGTTAGAAATTTTTTTTTACTGTAAAGGCGGATATTTCTCACTGCGTGAGAAATCTTTCGTTTTGAACGTATGAAAGCGATGATAGAAGTGGCACATTATATAGCATCCGTAGAACGTAGAAAAAAAATCTCTGTTGAATTATCTCAATAGGAAAATCTATCAATATTATGAGGAACAGGAAAAAAACCAATGCCAGAATGTGATCACTTCCGAAGATATCTATTTCGATTAATGCATTCAATGCGTGCTCATAGTCCGTGCAAGTACCTACATAAGGAACCGGAACAAAAGGCAATGACATCAAATCATCATCATCATCATTAATCATCGAACCGAAATGTTTACGGCCGCATGAAAATTATTCAAATCAGATAATTGTTACCTTTTAAGATGAAATATTCAGCCGGTTAGCCTTGAAATTCTCCTGCATATCAATTTATAAAAAATACTCTCACGTAACAGAAAGGTTCGTCATGAAAACGCCCTCGGGTTTTGTTTTTTGTTGTTTACAAACGTTTGCTCTTCACTACAATTCAGGAGGCGTTTTATTTTCTTGCTTCGTGAACGGTTTTATACACCTAGATGTTTTTGTTCTTTCAATCAAGTCATTAACCACTCTACTCGACAGTGGCGTATATAAAGGGGGAGCCTCCTCTCAACATTCTATAAGGAGTACTAGTATCTAGACGCAATACAGAAAAAATATATATAGGCAATCACACATTTACGGGGTCGTTATCAAAAAATTATTGACTCAAAAATGTTACTCCTACCTTCAACCTCCCTCGAATGACAGGCAGAACCCCTAATTTGATATATCCTTTGAAAGGTTTCTTCATTCTCTATTCAAAAATGTTATGGCGTTCAAGTGTATTGCAACAATTAAGGTAAAATAAATTAAAATCAAGTGGTTACCAAAATTCGATAAAATACACTAAAAACTTATTGCAATATACTCAAAACGTATTTCATGTTGATTGATTGATAATAAGAAAGTAAGCAAAAACCAAAGCAATGTTTTTTTAGATGGTATCCTTTAAAAAATTGTAAATAATTTCCGTTAGTTCAAAACGCCTTGTCAACTTGTTTTGTATGTTACATTAGTTGTCAGTATTTCAATCGAAATTTAAAGTTTGTTAACTTCAAGTCTAACAAATGGTTAGATTAACGGAAAAGCATAAAATAACAGTTTTACAAATGATTGGGTACAGAGATAAAACCTGAACACAACAGGAAATAGCTCGCCTATTTTATGAGAAATTTCCTAATTTACCGCCCATATCTCAAGAAGCAATAAGCAAAATAGAGAGAGAAGCAGTTTCGCGAGCTTGGTCATGGCGGGCACATGAAAAAAACAGCTGCCAATGCAATGAGTAATAAACTCAAATTAGATGTGATGCTTGAGTTTGAGGAAAAGCCACATAAATCGAGTAGACAGGCATCCACTACATTCAATGTTAGCCATAATTCATTGATAGTAAACATATTAAAAAAAATAAAATGCATCCCTATAAAATGATACCTACTCAGGAGCTCATGGAAGACGATTTTAATAGAAGAACTAATTTTTGTGAGCTAATGATGGACATGTTGGATAACAATATCATCCAATTAGAAGACGTTATGTTTTCTGATGAGTGTACTTTGTTTCTTAACGGTTATGCTAGTCAGCAAAATTTCCGCACCTGGTCAACGGAAAATCCTCACTGGATGAGAAAAAAACACACGCAATACCCTCAAAAGGTTAATGTTTGGGCAGGTATTGTAGGAAACCATATAATACTCAAAGGGTTGTAATTTTTTTTTGTCGAAAATGATCAAGTCGGAATTTATGTCTGGGGGACTCGACCTGCAAGAATTTCTGCCGACCTGCAAAATGTATTTCCAATTTTTTAGGAATTGTGAAACTTTTGGGTGTGGGTTGGAAAACTTTTCTGTCGAAAATGATTAACCTGGTCGAGATTTGTGTCTGGCAGACCCGACCTGCAAGAATTTCTGTCATACAAGATTACGAGAGCAATGTCTACTGAGAACAATTTGTTGACCTGCAGACCTGCAAAATAGTTATACCCCAAAAATAAGTACTACATTTCAATATATCAAACTTTCTAGGAGAAAAGATATAAGTGAAAACACCGTGTAACACAGACTTATGGTACACCCCATTTGTTTCTTTATTTCTTCAGCTATTTTTATAAAATTTTTCCACTTTTTGACGCGATGGGAGGATTTTTTCAACTTCTGGTTTTTCTTAATTTCCAATTGGAACACGCTTTGTGTTATTACATTTTTGAAATCTACATAATATTGTGGATACAATGATACTTCCTAGTTGATATTTGATACATTGATATTTCCTAGTTGATTCTTGATACAATGATATTTCCTAGTTGGTTCATTCTGTCAGGTGGCCAGCAAAATCACCCGACTTAACCCCTTTAGAATTTTGAATAAAATTGTCTACGCAACATCCCTAACAACCCGCGAGGACCTAGAACTATGACTAAGACAAGTTATTCAGAGTATTAACGCTTCAACAATTGGTCAATGCCATTCAAAATACCGCGAAACGACCTACAGGGTGATTCATTTGAAAATCAAACGTTGATATGATTTTCGGAAAAACTGAAAGTTGAAAAAAATCTCTCGATATGTCAAAACGTGCCTATTCATGAGCACATTCGTTTTTTTGCTAGAGATATAAATAATTAACGAGGCGTGTACCATAAAGTCCGAACCTCGCTTTTCAAGACCTGAAGTAATTTATATTCCGGCATTTCCTTTAAATTAGCTGCATATCCACATTCCAATTTCTGTCTCCGACAGCTCGCGAGTTTCTCAAAGAAGTATAAAGAGGTTAAGTCGGGTTATCTTGCAGGCTACCTGTCCGATGATATAATACATTGAGTAAGTAGATCATTTTCTTGGAAATATTTCGTTAACGAACAATTTTTATAGGAATCTATTCATCTCGAAATACACAAATGATTGTTGCTTACTTTCCGGTTTATACGAATCATCTACGTTTCGACATCTATAACAATGCCTTGTAAATGAATTTGTTAGTCTCCAAGTTGAAGTTTTTGGACATTTTTACACACACATTTTTTTGAGTTATGGGCAAATTGTGTGGGAATCCGTGGAATCATCCTTTTCACACCTTAATGACCAACAAAATCGATTGTGATGTGGAACGCTTCTATTTCATGGTGTCACATCGTTCTTCTTCAATCATCTTGCTCACAGGATGGACGTTTTTTGAAATTACGATTTTACATAAATCAGCATTGACGGACGCAGAAACATTGCAAAACTATGCAAACATATTGTAAACGATCTTTTCTGATGGTACTTCATTGAAAACAGTTGGGTTCTATACGTTCTTGTCTGTTCTTTTTTGAAATCGTTAAGCATCCAACGAAAACCTTCACGAGTGATTTCTATTCTAAGGAAAAGTCTCTGCCATTTTCCAAATAGTCTCTGAACGTTGATAAAGTTAGGGCAGCCTTTTTGGTGTGGAAGAACATTTCAGTGGAGGTCTACAAATGAAATGAATTTCGCCATTTACTCATGTTTATTAGCTCATTGTCACAAATATGAAGTGTACAATTTATATGAGAAATGAAGGTGATTATTCTTAATAAAAGTCGAATTTTAGCATTGCCATCTAGTGGGTGTTTGTATATACATAAAAGGCAACCCTTTGACTTACTTCATAACACCTTTCAATTATTGGGTGAAAATAAAAATATCGCTTCTTCAAAAGTTGATATTTTCTAGCTTTTGAGAAAATATATGTTCGAAACAAAATGTTGATTTTTCTGAAATTAATTTCGATTTTTTTCCGTAGTTGAAAGCTGAAAAGAAAAAATGCCAGGAACAAACGCAGCTGATAGAAAAGGAAAAGGCCCGAGCTTTAATTTTCGTGAGTATAAAATTCAGTGTATAACTTCAAAATTTGATTCCGAATGTCTGTCTGTTTGCAGTTTGTTTTTCATATTCCATGGTATAGGAACCATTGTCTGTAATATATTTCAAACTTTTAGCTTCAAGAACAAGCCAAAGAATCGGAATACAACCGAAGGAAACTAGAAAGAGCTCGCCAGGAGGTCGTTCATCGTATGACGAAAATAAAGAACGAGAAAGATAGCTTGGAGCGAGAGGTGAGTGATACTTTAATTAACATTTCAGTGACGGATTCTCAGCGCCGTAAAACGATTTGAACGGGAGCGTGTTACTTAATGAAGTAAGCTAGCTGTTGATTGCTATAAAGCAGATAGTCAATTGCGTTAATTGTAAATGGTAATGTTTTTTACTTATTATGCTGATGGCCGTGCAGTTTGATTGTCTAAGGTTATTCGCCAACAAATTGCATGCGATTCGTCAGACATATCATGTGTCATTGGAACTATTTGTTTTTTAATTCAAGATGTGTTCCAAAAGTAACCAGGAATGTGGTTTGGTGGTTCTAGAATCACAAATATTGTGGTACTACTGAAAGTACAGTACAGAAGTAAGAAGTAAAGTACAGAAACGCGTTTTCCTAAAAGCAGGTGAAGTAAACGTAAAAATATTTGGTTGTTTCAACAGTTCTTTATAATATTTCAGTAAATACTTATTCAATATAATCGAAATAAGCTTCAATTGAACCAGTGCACTTTTGCCAACGCAGCACAGTTAGATTAATTCTGTCAGCATAAAAATTACCTGCTCTGGTTTCGATAAAGTCGACGAAGGCTGTTTTTGCATGGTCCTTGTTGTGCTTGAAAAGATGGTAGTCGGTTGGCGAGAGGTCTAGGGAATATGGTGGGTGAGGCAGAGCTTCGACGCTCACAGTTCGTTCAATTTTCGGACGGTGATTTGTGAAACGTGCAGACGGGCGTTGTTGTGGAGCAGGACCGGAGTTCTTCTGTTCTCCCGTGCCGGCTGCTGCTGACGGTGCATTTCGTCGATTTTCTCATAATAGGTTAGGTTAGGTCCAAAGTGTGTGGATCTATTCGAACCTCTACTGCAACCCGCAAGGGTTTATTGTGGCTCACACCTATTCACCCAAATGAACCCAGCTTCTTAACGAAGCCGATTAGTTTGTATAGTGAGTGGTCTCTCAGGTCAGATGCTAAGAGTACGGCTCTGCAGAACTCTAAAAACCTGATTCGGTCCCCAGCGGGTCAGGCACAAAGTATGTGCTCTGCTGTTTCATCATTTTCCAAACAGAGGGGACACACACTGTTTAGTATCAATCTGCGAAGGGTGAATAAACGCCTTGGAGTGAGACAATCCTAGAAGAGTCTGCCCGAAGTCCATAAATCTTCTTGCAATCCAGTTGTTCAATCTTTATTTGGCAAAGCCTGAAGTGATGCCAATGACAGGTTCTGGTTCGATGAAGCTGCTTGCAGCACCCTCCTTTGCAAGAGAGTCAGCAGCCTCATTGCCTTCCAGGCCAGTATGGCCAGGAATCCAGACCAGAGACAATCTGTTAAGTCTTCCTATTGAGGAGAGTCGTTTTTGGCAGTTTGCTACCAATTTAGACGTTGCTCGGTAGAAGGCAAGAGCTTTCAACGCCGCTTGACTGTACAAAAATATTTTTATTGACTTTCAATCTCTCTGCACACAATTCAATAGCGTAAATTTCCGCTTGAAATACTGTTGCAAAGGTTACTAGACAGGTTGATGTCTCTGCCCTGGGTCTGCGACTGAGAACACCTGCACCATAACCAGAAGGTGTTTTTGATCCATCTGTGAACCAACAAACATCTGCTATCAATATTTCTTTATCCCGAAGGATTCAGTCTTCTCTACTCGAGAACAGTACTTTATAAGGCAATTCGTAGTTGACACTTGGAGGCATAAAGTCAGAGGTCATTTCCAGAATGCTGGGACTTCCAGTGTCAACAACAGTCTGTTGCACTCTGCATTAAATTGATTTGTGCAATTGGCAATGTGCACAAGTGTATATGCCGTCCATCTAGCCCCTCTCTCCAAAAAATGTGGGGAGGAGGTAGATCTAGAAGGACCACCATGGCCGCTGACGGTGTGATATTGATGGCACCACTGTTGATCAGACAAGCCTGTCTCTGTAAGCCAGACAGCTTCGCCTAGGCCGTTTTCTGTAAAGCCTTCGGTCAACAGGCAATTACATCATAAGTGATCATTGGTCTGACAATCATCACATACATCCACTGGATTTGTTTAGGAACTGAACCCCAAGTTTTACCTCCAGGAGAGTTTTTTATTCAGGACATTGCCAAGATTACGTCACCTCCGTTCCAAATGAAAAGACCTCACCTTTGAGGGAAAGTGGCGTTAGATCGTCCAATTTTTTCCTCTTGGTGAAGGGAATTATCACAGTTTTGCTGGGATTGACATACATCTGCTCCCTCAATGTGAACAATGTCCATCATGTTTTGGAGGATATTAGAAGCTACCCTTTCCGACGTGGATCTTGCTAAGATGACAAGGTGAACAATGTCCATCATGCTTTGGAGGATATTATAAGCTACCCTTTCCGACGTGGATCTTGCTAAGATGACAAGGTCATCTGCATAAGCTTGCAGATCTACTTTTCTTCTGTCGAGGGCATCAAGCAGACTATCCATCAGGAGTGAGCACGGAAGGGGAGATAGTACCCCACCTTGTGAGGGCAGCCTCTGTTATCCTGAACCTAATTGGTCGTAGTTGCAGTTCTGTTTACTAGTATGGCATAGATCCAGCCAGTTATGGTCGATTCTATAACTTTCCTAGCCAGAGATGATTCTATAGATTTAGGTAGTGCATCGTCAAATGCTTCTCCAATATCGAGAAATACAGCAACAGCAATCTCTTTGTTGTCAAGGGATTGGGAAATTTCCTATATAAGGTTGTTCAAAGCTAAATCTGTCGATTTGCCGGTTTGATAAGCATACTAGTGGTTATTCAGGGGGGAAGCATATAATGCCACCCTCCTGATGTGTTCAGTATCCTCTCAAGTCCTTTCAACAGGAAGGATGTAAGGCTGATTGGTCGTACTGATTTAGGGTGTGGGTTTTTCCGACCCACTTTTGGTATACATACCACCCTTGCTGCCAACCAACTGGTTGGTATATAGTTCAACGCCAGACTAGCTTTGTACAATGTATACAATATAAAATTATTTCCAGTCCGTTTTGAAGAAGAGTTGGAAATATACCATTTTCTTCAGGAGATTTGAAGGGCCGAAACGACGTGATAGCCCATTCAACTGCCGCTGCTGTGAAAACCTTCTTGACGACCCCCCCATCGTTCTGTTTTGGGCATTTAGCGTCCTTAGCACAACTCTGATGTGATGTTTTGGCCCGGTTGCAGACAGTTATAGTGAATCACACCAGCCGCTAACCACCATTCAGTAACCATGGTCTATATCTGGTGGGTTTTCACCTTTGGGATGTGCCTGGGTTGCTCATCGGTATCCAACCACTGTTCCTGGAGATCTCCTGTTGTTGTAGAGGATCCACTTTTCGTCACACGTGACGATCCGATCCAAAAAAGATCGTTCTCGTTGCGCAGATGCAAAGAACAGACCTCGAAACTTGACAATTTCTTTCCATCGTTCGTGGGAAAAATATTGGTAGTAGTAGTAATGCTGTTTTTATAAAAAAAACAATGTCTGAGTACAGGCAAACATCACAAGCTACCTTGAAACATCTAAGAGGGAAGTTGGCTCTATTCTAGAGAAACTTCCGCTTGATTTCATCGTCAAAAATACGCTCAGTACAACAACAAGATCGCTTTTCCGTTCTCAGTCCTCAACAACTTTGCTAACATCCAGGCCGCTGACTGAGTAGCTCCGTGTTCACTCGTATTTTTACTAGTAGAGGGTAGTAGTATTAACGTGTCCATCTCTCTCTCTAAAGTCTCGGATATACCTACACAGTAGGTTGAATGGACTGATGTCTATCAGAAAACAACTACTGTATACCTGTGTAGGTATATCCGAGACTGGCTTGAACGTTTAAAGTTCATTTCTTTAGATTTGTTTACTGCCAATCTTCAAGCATAGTCCACTGACTAATAAGAAAATCTCTTTCTCTCTCTCTTTGTAAGGCCGTTGCTTCCCTCTCGGGCGCATTTCGCATTTCGCCAAATTTCGCCAAAACAGTTGACAGGAGCTTTCGTGGGAGTTGGCAGCTGGTTCAAAGCAATGCTGCCACCCTCTAGTTTTTCTCACATTTTTTGTTCATGAAAAAGTACATTTTTTAAAAGTTCGCCTCGTCTTCGGGAGACCTTTTGCTTTTTTTTGCACATACACGGTCCCCTTTACGTGGTGATTCGAACCACCCGGCCTGGATACCGGCGTGAATAAAAGATATCCATGAGAATGCGTACTCCTGATTGGTCCGCATCTTGCCTAGGTTGTTTTGATTGGTCTCCATTGTTGATAGGTGTGTTGCCATAGGGATGTCGATCGAAGTTTATTGTGCCTTGTCGAGTACCAGATAGAGCACGTTCTGTTGACTAGTAAAATTTCTTGTTTTCTGTTGAAATTGTTGGTGTGTATATAGATCTCAATGGCTTTCCTATGAAGTCGTATGTGGTAATGCGTTGTAGTAAACAGGACAACAGGTTCTGGTATTTTATTTATTACGTGGTCTGTCTGCAAAAGTAAAAACATCAGATTTCTATGCAGCTTGGTTTATAGAAAAAAAAATCGTAATCATTAGGTGAACACGTTTGTGAGAAAAAAATGAATAGTTTGACTGACTGTGGAAATGTAACGAAACCGTCAAGTCGGCGGTTACGAGTGAAAAAAATCTATAGAACACTTTTTATAACCGTGATCTTATCTGCAACAGGAGTAGAGTAGGGAAGAGTATTGCATTTCTCGTGATTGGGTAAAGTGTTTGTTCTGGATATAAAGTTATTGTTATCAAATCAAATAAAATCAAAATATACTTTATTGTCTGAAGAACATAATTCTCATTGACAAAGTCGTTTACAAAATAAAAGAACAAACAACAACCATGTGCAATTATACAATGCATGTACATAAAATATTGAAATTGTCACAATAAAAAATAGCTTTGTACGAATATTAACAACAAACAGGTGTAAATATAAAATGAATTTCAATATAAATATAAATAATGTATAACTATCACTGAAACACATTGAATAATAATGTATAACTAGGATTTGAAGACGAAGTCAA